AATATAACATATGAAACATGTTCTCTCGTTGAACCAGAAGTTATTGCGGGATAATTTTGATCTTCCTTCTGTTAAATTACGCGTAAACTGCGACTACGTCCCGTCTGCTACCCTATTTACCCTTCGGACTACCAAATATTAGCACAAAATCGACGCTGTGGAAAAGCGCGACGGGGATGGATTCGGTCGTCGTTTCACGAGCTGGAAACAAAAGGGGCGAGACCCTTTCGGAGGAGCTCCGTAGAGGAAGGTGTCGGGTTTCGGGAAGATGTAGGCAGTCTATCGCCGAGGGCGAAGCGGGAGCAATTTGGATTTCTTCGCGACCTCGCCCCCCCCCCTAAAACCCTTGCCGCGTGTCCATTAAAGCCGATCCGGAGCGCATCACGTACATCCTCAATCTGAATTTCATCCGTGGCAAACGTCGCAAAATTTTGCCAGCGTGTGTAACGAAGGTTAGGATACCGTTAGGACTCATATGATAAAGATGTATCGCAAGTATGTGAAAAGAAGGCGAAATCCTCTTGAGGGCACTCGCGTCTGCACGATAGTAATTCCGCAGCGAACGCGGAAGAGATCCCTTTGACGTACGATGCTGCGCTTGATGGAAGCGTTTGCATGTTTCCTGCAGATATAAACGCACGTCTTCACATTTCTCATAAATATCCACTGATACGAGAAAATGTAACACAATACGCCGGTAACACGAAATCACGGATACGTCTTACGTAAAGTAACGCCACTGTAAATAAATGAGTCACTACTAATATTATTCAACGAAATATGAAAATTTAACGGTGCTAAGTTGGAAATGAGAAATTATTAAGTTTAACGAACGATGTGGCGAAATTACAACTTATTTTATGAACTTATTTGAACAAGTGTTAAGTGCGAATAATTTTACTTTTGTGACTTAAAGAGTTCTTTATTGTTACTTTTACTTTATTAATCTGTAATGTCAGGTTAATAAATTATGCTTTTTTATCAGTTTGCTTTCCGTTTCAAAAGAATTTAATAATTTATTCATTTTTACTTTTTCTTCTTTTTGCAGTATACGCTTGTTTATTGTTTACGGTTTCGCTGCGGTTCTGCTGATCTTTGAGCGCTCCATTTGCGGGCGCAATTCCCGTCGAAACCGGAGAATAAATCAATCAGACGAAATGTAATACGAGGATGCACCGGCTTTCTGGTGTACTCGCTCTCTCTCTGAAGATTTATTTCTTTCCTTCCGGTGCAATATACGTTTCCACTCTCTACACTGCGATATTTTCAAGAAAAATTTTCAAGAAAAATTGTGAAGTTTCTCTAAAATTATTTATTCTTATTTGTTCTCGAATATTTTACATTTTATATAAAATAATAGCAGCATTTATAATGAAAATATACTGACGGAAACATTCACTGGAAACTGAAAGGATCGTTCACGTATTAAAATAAAACATCAAATTTTCAAAGACTAAATATTAAACATAAAGAGGAATTTCGTTATGCGAAGAATTTAGCTCAGGTGTAAAACTTCTCTTTTTTATCATAAAACTTCTCTTTTTTAAAATATTTCGACGAAGGATCTGATCTAAATAGTTTACATCCGCTGAAGCTGTGGAAGCAAGAGGAGGGTTGGAGGGTCTTGACGTCGAGAAGAATGAGATCGCCGGCCTGTTAATGCGTAATAACGCGCCTCGTTAGAGTGTTTTTTAATTTACTTGCTTATGACGACCTAAGATTCCAGTGGAGTGTAATTTACGTGGAAAGGGCACTAATCTCGCGACATTGGACGACCATAAATTACTGTTTCCCCTTCTCTCACAAATTTACCTCTCCTTTACAATTGAGAGAGATATCGCGTAATTTTTAGGAAAACAAAGAGAGAGAGAGAGAGAGAGAGAGAGAGAGAGAGCGTAGTAAGGACGAAATAAGAAAGTA